TAACAAGAAAGTACTGGAAACAACCCATATATCCTTCAGTGGATGAGTAAATAAATTCTGATATACCCAAATAATGAAATACTACTCAGCAATGAAAACAGATGAGCTATTAATATACACAACAACTTGGATGGTCCTTAAGGCATTATGCTTAGAAAAAAAAAGTCAAGCTCAAAAGGTTACATATTGAGGCTGGGCGCGGTGGCTCAAGCCTGTAATCCCAGCACTTTGGGAGGCCGAGGCAGGTGGATCAGATCACGAGGTCAAGAGATCGAGACCATCCTGGTCAACATGGTGAAACCCCATCTCTACTAAAAATACAAAAATTAGCTGGGCGTGGTGGTGCGTGCCTGTAATCCCAGCCGCTCAGGAGGCTGAGGCAGGAGAATTGCCTGAACCCAGGTGGCGGAGGTTGCGGTGAGCCAAGATCACGCCATTGCACTCCAGCCTGGGTAACAAGAGTGAAACTCTGTCTCAAAAAAAAAAAAAGGTTACATATTGTAGAGTTTCATTTATATAACATTCTTGAACTGATAGAATTATAGAGTTGAAAAAATAGATTAGTGTTTGCCAGGTGATAGGGACATTAGATGAGGTGAAGGTAGCAAAAGGGAGTTCTTTTATGGTGATAGAACAGTTCTGTATGTTGATTGTGGTGTTGCTCCCACAAATGAATACATGCTATAGAATAGCATAGAGCTGTGTATACACATTCACATACACACAAATGAATACATCCTATAGAATAGCAGAGAGCTGTGTATACACATTCACATACACACAAATGAATACATCCTATAGAATAGCATAGAGCTGTGTATACACATTCACATACACACAAATGAATACATTCTATAGAATAGCATAGAACTGTGTATACACATTCACATACACACAAATGAATACATTCTATAGAATAGCATAGAGCTGTGTATACACATTCACATACACACAAATGAATACATCCTATAGAATAGCATAGAGCTGTGTATACACATTCACATACACACAAATGAATACATTCTATAGAATAGCATAGAGCTGTGTATACACATTCACATACACACAAATGAATACATCCTATAGAATAGCATAGAGCTGTGTATACACATTCACATACACACAAATGAATACATCCTATAGAATAGCATAGAGCTGTGTATACACATTCACATACACACAAATGAATACATCCTATAGAATAGCAGAGAGCTGTGTATACACATTCACATACACACAAATGAATACATCCTATAGAATAGCAGAGAGCTGTGTATACACATTCACATACACACAAATGAATACATCCTATAGAATAGCATAGAACTGTGTATACACATTCACATACACACAAATGAATACATCCTATAGAATAGCAGAGAGCTGTGTATACACATTCACATACACACAAATGAATACAGGTTCCTAAACTCTACAATCTGAATAAGGTCTACAGACCAGTTAATAGCAAGGTACTCCTGTCACTTTCCTCATTTTTATAATACACCACAGCTATATAAGATGTTACTATTGAGGTAAGTTGAGGTAAGGGTACACAGGAGTTAATTATTTTTTAAACTATTTTTGAGCATAGATTAATTTCAAAATGAAAAGATTTTTAAAGAGTATAGCACAATTATAAAGCACCATGAAAAACAGAGATCTCCTCACACAATTGGCATTTAAAGCAACATTGTCAGAAGCTACTTTTGAAAGTCTTCAGTTTGAAGTGATGCTTTTGCTTTTAATTCAAGCATGCAGTTGTGTAAGCTCAAAAGATGTGATTTGTGAACATGAAAGCTTCAACTCTGATCCCCCGTGTTCCATTTGCTTCTTCAACTGCCCTTTATTTGACCAGGAAGGATGTCATTTCCAAAAGTACTTGGAGACCCACATTTAACTTGAACAACATTGTTCTTTCAGATTATTAAGGCTGTTCAATTTTCTCTGTGGGTTGCTACCCCAAGTTGGAGACTCTTCTGAAATGTCAGACTGAGAAAATAGTACTGGTTCCAACACAGTAAAAAAAAGAAAGAAAGAAAAGCTTTGGAATGAATGCAATCAATAGCCTTTGAAAACAAAGTTAAAAAGCAACAATTGAATGCTAAGATGTATAAAACCATCTTGTTCCTTTTTTATTTGAATATCAATGTGGCCAAGAAATGGGGAAACACAATAGACCATTTGATTCAATAAGCCCTTAGCAAGCACCTGAGTCATCATTGTAATGCCTTATATGACGTGCATGTTGTGCATAGCAGTGAAAGTTATAAGGATGAGCGAGACAGTCCACGCTGTTCAAGAGATCTCAAATTTGTATCCTCAATACTGGCAAATGCTCCAGGTTCTAATGCCAGAGCACTGAGTGAGAAGCACAGCCTTGTATAATACCAATGGTGAGAAAACCAAAACCCAACAGTGTCAAAGGTAGAATAATTTATTTAGCTCAGGTGGAAATTGGGTAGTCTCTGGAGAAAAGCATCCATCAGGAGAGAAGTTGTGAGGCTACAGAATATAAAAACCTGTAGAAAAGGCTTGCAAGATAGTAACCACCCCAAATAAGTTTGCAAGATAGCATCCATGCCAACAAGGAAAATGTATAAGAATTTGAAATTTCAGATTAATATTGTTTGGGGAATACTGAATTATTTTTTCTTTTTTTTTTTTTTTTTTTTTTTTTTTTGGTGAGTGGCTTAAGACACACACGGATAAAGGAAAATTTTGAAACAGTGCTGCTCAATTATGGGTAAAACTTGGCACTGTCTCCCATCCAAGTACTAACCAGGCCCAACCCTCCTTAGCTCTCAAGATAGGTAAGTTTGGGTGCATTCTGCATGGTATGGCCTTAGACAAATTTGCCACTGTCTACAAAATAGACAAATAGTCTACAAAATAGACGTTTCTTTGAAAAGAAAAGTCAACAGATTCCTCATCTTTATACCTATTTTTTGCTTCTGTTTCATTGTTGGAGAATTAGTTTTAGAATCAATGGATAGGAAACCATTCTATGAATACATTTATAAAGAAAGGCCAATTATATTTTACTTCACTTATTTGACTTAAAGTTTTTTACTCACTGACTTTCTATTGTTGATCGTGTTGATTCCATTTTATTTAAGCCAGTATTAAATTACCAGGAAAAGTAGCAATTAAAAAGATATTACTCTGGTATACAAAAGGTTAAGGATCTACTTTGACATGAAAAATGAGGTAGGTTAATGGGTGGGTAGAAGGATGGATAGATGTGTGAAAAAGGAAATGTAGAAAAATGTAAATTGTACAATGTAGGAGACATGGATGTGTACTATAAAAGTCTTTCACCTATTCTTCATGTTTGAAAATTTTCATAAAATTCTGAAAAGAAAATCCAAAAAACTCAAAAGGACACTAGAAATTTTAGTGCCAAATATACAGCTTCCTTTCCTAAAATAATTTTTTAGTGATTTTGTCAATGTACTGGGTAAAATTAAGAAAGTGTTACAGAAACCAAAGCCTTGCTTTAAAAATTTCAAAATTAATTCTAGGTAAGGGATAGAATTATAGAGAAATAGCTATAGTAATTGAAAGTATCCATTTATGTGGAAATAACTTCTTGTTGTTCCATCAATACACTAGCATTATGTTTCTTGGGCATCCGAGTGTTCTTGTTACCTGTAAGCTCAAGTCCGCCACTCTCCAAGAGGGCCAAATGATACAAATTAGATTTTTTTCCCTCAGATCTAGAATGCAAGTATAGCAATGTGTAGTTACTTGACTATATGGCATCAAAGTTATATGGAACTAACCAAACAAATATAACAGCAATTTTTACATCTAGTCATGAAAAAGAGTTTTGTGTGTTTGTTTTCTAATTTTGGTCCTTACTGTCTTGTATTAGTTCATTCTCACATTACTATAAACAACCATCGAAAACTGGGTAATTTTTAAAGGAAAGATCATTAATTGACTCGCAGTTCAGCATGGCTGGGGAGGCCTCAAGAAACGTACAATCATGGCAGAAAGGGAAGCAAACACATCCTTCTTCACGTGTGGCAGGAAGGAGAATTTCCAAGCAAAAGAGGGAAAGGCACCTATAAAACCATCAGACCTGGTGAGAACTCACTCACTATCAGGAGAATAGCAGGATGAGGGTAACTCCCCCAGGATTCACCTCTTGTAACATGTGGGGACAATTCAAGATGAGATTTGGGTGGGGACACAGACAAACCATATCATGTTTTAAATATTCTTTCCTCTTGAAGTCAAATTAGAATTTTTAATGAGTCTAAAAAGAGCCCTTATTGGTTTAGAATGGATTAATTAAGGAGCACTGACTTTCTGATTCAGGGCAAATAGCCATTCATTTTCAGTGGATTCGTAGCTCCTCTGGATTACTGCAAGGATTGCTTCTCACATTTAACACTGGTCCTTGAAATTTTCCATGAATTTTCCAAAAGTGCAAAAGCTGCAGATGCCCAAAGATGGTACCGTGGCAGTTCCATTGCTTCTAAGTAGGCCCGGATCTCGGAGATCTCAGACACGTTGATATTGATCTTCGAAGAAAAGTTACGTACAAAGGAAATATATCTGCCAACCTCCTTTGAAACAGGGTCAAATAACCAGTTGGAAAACTTTCTAAAGTTGTCACATTAAACTTTAATAATAACTACACTTTATGGGGCTTTTAACTTTGCAAATTGCTTTCACATGCGTTATCTTATTTCAAGTTCTATGGCAAAGACACTGTGTCTAGGCTTTGGGGCTGAATCACAATGACATGCATATGAAAATGTTGACAGGGACACACAAAAAAGTTATTACTTTGCCTAGCAGAAGAATTCAACAGGCATCGGCTGTATTCAAGATAGGTTATTACAAAGGGTTAAGATTCGGCTCTATTGCTTGAGGATTATCACTGATATTTGCCTTTTTTAAAAAAGGAGAACATGCCTTATTTCTTTGTTTCCGCCACTTCATCCTTCTTATTTCTGATTTTCTTTTTCTTTGCCATAAATCTGCAGGTCAGCCCAACGCCAGGGTGCATCCGTGCCCTCATGAAGATGCTGTACTGTCCATACTGTCGGGGGCTCCCCACGGTGAGGCCCTGCAACAACTACTGCCTGAACGTCATGAAGGGCTGCCTGGCAAATCAGGCTGACCTTGACACAGAGTGGAATCTGTTTATAGGTAAGAAGTGTTTAAACAGATCTGAGAACAGAGACGGGACCACAGAAAGTGTTTATGGGGCTTGATGGCTGGGTCAGAAGTTATAACAAATCAGACACTGTGGTTCATGTCTATAACCCTAGCACTTTGGGAGGCCAAAACAGGTGGATTGCTTGAGCCCAGGAGTTTGAGGCTAGTCTGGGCAGCATTGTGAGACCCCCATCTCCACAAAAATTAAAAAATAAGCTGGGCATGATAGCACATATCTATGGTCTCAGCTGTTTGGGAGGCTGAGGTAAGAGGATTGTGTGAGCTTCAGAGATTGAGGCTACAGTGAGTTGTGATTATGCCACTGCACTCCAGCCTGGGTGACAGTGGGACGCTGTCTCAAAAAAAAATGTTATGGTGACTTTTAGAGACTAAGATGATTTTTAAAACCACATTTAGCAAATTATAAATATTATTTTGAATTTTTCTTGTGTTTTTACTTATATAATATGGGACAGTCCTGTTAAAGATTATGCAAGCCAGCTATATTGAGCTAGCTGGTCTCTCTGATGAAAACAAAGGTAATCTTGTTGAAGTTCCATGCATTCCCATGAGAAGAAATGCTTTAGAAAAGAACCTTCTAAAAAAATCCACTGGACTCTCTCTTTTTTATTTGTATTACCTCACCATAGCCACAGATATTAGTAAACAAGGTTTTCCTTGAACTCCTAGAATGAAAATAGGTCAGTATTTTGCCTAAAATATGCAAAATTTCTATCTCATTCTGTGGAGAAGAAGGCTTTAAGCACAAAGCATGAAACAGGCTTCCAGTCTCTAGAAGGCAGGAGGCACGGAGGTGGGGGAAGTGGGGGGGAGGTCTGTGAATCAAGGCTCTGTTCTTGGGTTGCAGAAATGATTCAAGAGGTTGCATTGCCCAAAGATAGTTCCCAAATTGCCATCCAAGGATAAAAGGACAAATTTTATAGGCAGGCTTCTCCCAGGAAAATACATAGGCCTTGAAAGAGTAAATGTGTTTTCTCCCCCTCTGTCAAATGGCCTTCAAATAAAAGTACTTTCAATTGCATTTACTGCAATTACACAGTGACAAGCAGAGTGGTGAAAATAGCAGTGGCATTTGTCAGCCTCTGAGGGCCTTCGTCATTTATGCAAACCTCTAAACCAGAATGCACGAGTAAAGCGTTCTGACAACTAAGATTGGCGTAGGATAGAAAAAAGATGTTACAATTCAAAGAAACTGAAGCTCACTGTGCAAAGATGTGCTTAGGTTACAGGCCTCAGCTCTGACGACGAAACCCATTGGCTAATTCACCATTTTGCTTAGGAAGGCCAGAGGATATGGTTTTAAGCTTAAAAAAAAAGATTTTATAATGTACAGATAGAGATTACAATGTACAGATTCAAATGGAAATCATCCAACAAAACCTTAGAATTATTTCAGAAAGAATAAATTGAAGTGCTGATACCTCTCCCCACAGTGGGAGGACAAAATCTGTTTGTATGATCATGAGTGACTTGATTTGAAAAATGAAGGAGTGTTTAAAAGTGGATCATTAAGGTATGCTTCTGGCACAAAATGACATGATTCTTTACTAAGATTTTTGTTCTTTACTAAAATTGTGGAGGGGGCATAAATTTTTTAAAATAAACTTGATCTTAGAAGATTTAGATTTTTTTAGCAAAGACAGCATACCCAACTAATGCTGATTTAAAAAGTACTCTCATCAAGAAATCTAAAAAGATTTGCTTATTGATGCTATTGGGTTTAATCTGAGTCTGATTAAACCTCATGCCATCACTTGGAGTCATATAGATCATCCATATATTTGGTTGAAACTGCCCTAATGCCTAGCACAGTTCAGTTGGCTTCAGTCAGCCCGCAAGTGATTGAAGAGGGCAGGCATGTGGACTTTGTTACTTAGCGCGGGACATGATTAAGAATGAGAATATAGGCGTTTTAACTTGTAAGAGCGACAGTGACTTCTTAATTGGCTTTTTGTCCTCAGTGCTTACTGGTTGTTTTAACAGAAGACAAATCCTTATGCTTTTGATCAGTTGGGTCTCCTAGATACCGATTTGATGTGAAATGGAATGTCTGGAAAATCATTTGATTTACAAATTAAAATTTGAACCCACTATGTATTGTTGGATGTACTTTAGTGAAAAGCAAGCTTGGTGGTTCGGCCCGTATGAACGCATTTCATACCCTCTCTTCCCCTGTCTCTTTTTTTATTAGTCCTAGTTGTCTTTGAGAAAATTCTTCCAGTTTTCCTCCTTTGGGTTCTGCTATGGCATTGAGAACTGACCACCAACATAGACTTATAGAGCAAAATATGTTCTTGCTAATACTTGCCTGGGCGTGAAGTGTTAGTTCACAAATTTATGGCATGAATTAGTCAAATGTGCCAACACCACTTTCCACACAGATACATCTCAGATGACAGTGTTACAGTGTTCATGAATGCAGCAGCAAAGATCAGTGAGCAAATCGGCAATCCAACAAAAATTATACATAATAGTCCTCTCTCTGGTTAGCACCTGCAGCCCATCGCTTTGGGCTTCCGGCATCTCTTCATCAAAACCTTCACTCCTGTGGGTGTCAGTTGCATGTACCTTCCCCACCAGTTTATACATGTTATAGATGTTTTTCTTTAATTATGATGTGCCTATCTAAAATGTTAACAGCGGTATGCAGTCGACCATCAAGAGTCAAATTGGGGCATATCCTCCCAGTCTTTACAATGCCACCAGTTAGTTGAAAGTGATTAGTGACTGTTTAGAATTCAGTCGATGCCTGGATCATGTCAAAAGAAAGTGAAGTGTTTTAAGCATTTTAGTTAAAACCTCTATGGTATTCCAGCCACTTCTGAAGTTCTGTGGTTGGGGTGTGTGTGTGTGTGTGTGTGTGTGTGTGTGAGATCTTCGAAAAACAAATCAGGAGTCTGTTTAGGATGCATTTTCATAGTCCTCCATTTAACTCACTGCCCTGCACAGAGGAATTGCTCAAAAGATTCTTATCAAGTAACTGTTATAAGAAAAATAAACTCCATTTTTACATGAAGAGCTTTTCTTTGAAAACTTCCTTACAACATTGAAAAAAATGCAACTAGACCTGTTTTACAGTAATTAAAAATGCTCCTCAGCCTCCAGCTCATCCCTTCACTTGTTTTGTAGTAAGGACTATATGGGATTCCCTAGGATAAAGCACAACCCAGATTCCACCTGCTGCATCAGAATGAATGGTGTATTACATAGCACCCCTGAGCTAGGCATGACCAGAAAAAGCAGGGGGGTGGCTTTCAGCCTATTCTCACTATTCGAAACCATGTGATGCAGTAGGAGAAAACCCTAATTTAAGACATTAACAGTCTCCGCTCAGGCACTTATCCCAGGTGTTGCTGTATTTTCATACGCGACTTATTCCAGCCTAGTTTTGCATGCTGCCTAAATGCAAAATGGTTGTCTTGAAAAATGTTTATGTCAAATTAAAATCTCCTAGAGGGAGAAACGGTTTGTGGGCAGAACTCACTTCAGTAATATCCTGTGGTTATTTTGGGTGTTTGGCATTGATATTAACACTCCAGAGATAAGAATTGTTCTATTTCACAAGAGGCGATGTTGCAGATTACAACTAGCTCATGAACACAAAAGTCAAGGCTGAATTACATTTATATAGCTATAAGAAATCTTACGTCTACTTTAAAATTGAGGATGTGTGGGACAGCCTCCTGCAAACACCTGGTACCTTCTAAGATTTTATAGACTATGAGAACTGGAGAGAGATTTCTAAAAGACGTTGCCAGTGAGGAGAGGCAAAGGTTGGTGAGACAAAGGCAGGGATTTGGTATTATTGCATACTACTTGTTATCCCTAAGTGTTGTAGAATGCTTCTAACAGCAAGTATAAAACTGAGACCTGAGTGTTTTTGTCCCAATTATGTTACTTAATTTTTTAGGCTATCCCAGTTAACAAAGATCCTAATAATCCAACTCACTATATTGGGTAAGCTAGGCATATGCATTTTTTGCCCTTAGGGAATTTAACGTAGTTAAAATAATTATAGTAAACTGTGATAAACTGTTAGGATAATGGAAGCATGGGATGCTAAAGCCTTTACTCAGCTGGGGCACTTAACTTAGTCTGGGGCATCAGAGAAACCCTACTTTGTTAAGTACAGAATATAATAGCAAAAAAGATTGTATTGAATTGGCATTGTCAAATATAATTGGTATTAAATAGCCACAGCATATATAATTGTTACACCATAGGCCTCAGAGAGTTTCAGTTTTTAGTGTCACTCTCAATAGGTCTAGCAGGATTTGTCAGAGGTTCATAAGTGCTCGTTTTATTTTTGACGTTTTCTATGATCAAGTCTCACCTCCCCACTCCCACTGACTGGATGAGATTTGGAGAATATGTGTTATTTTTCATCAGAGAAAAGTTGAGTTCTCTTGATTTAGATGCCCTCCAAAGGGTAGTGGGGCTGGAGGGGAAGCCAGCAAAGCAGCTAGTAATTTTTAATTTAAGCCTTGGGCACACATAGACTAGATAAACCAGTGATATCAAACTTTCTGGGCATCTTCCTTTCAAACTTGTCAAATTAAATTGACAGGCAGCTCGAAGACTGAAAACTGGCATAAGAGCATTAAACATGAAACCCAAGGTGGGTGCTACATCTGTGGCATTCCAAGACTCCCGGCAGTGCAATAGGCACTATTCATTTATTCTCTCAAGTATTCATTAGTCCAACACATGTTTGCTAAGTGCCTGTTGTGTGGACTTTGTTTTGGTTTAGGCATGGGGATGGAACAGAGAACAGTACTCAGTATATGTTCTTTGAATGGAATAAATGGATCCAACTGTACAGAGAAATTGAAGGGAATATACTCAGAGGCTGTTATATTTTACTTTGTAAGTCTATTCTTATAATGGAAGTATGACTAATTCAGTAATTTAAAAATCACATATCCCTGTTGTTAATGGACTCATGAGTGCAGGATGGCAGAAACAAATCA